CAACTGAACTGGTACAAGATTATCTCAATGTAATAAATAACCACTGATTTCTAAATAAAGACCTACAAATTAGGCTTCAGAAAAAAATCCTTTCTGAAGTTCAGAACATCCCAATACAACCACATATTGCCATGTCTGATATATCTCTGCATTTCCTAACCCTAGCCCACATCTCACTCTGTGGCAGTGTTTCTGTAACACAAAAATACTAGACTTAAAAGAAAATTCTAGGGGCGCCTGGGTGGCTCAGTCGGTTAAGCGTCTGCCTTCAGCTCAGGTCACGATCCCAGGGTCCTGGGATCGAGCCCCGCATGGGGCTCCCTGCCCAGCAGGAAGCCTGCTTCTCCCTCTCCCACCCTCCCTGCTTGTGTTCCCTGTCTCGCTGTGTCTCTCTCTGTGAAATAAATAAACAAAATCTTAAAAAAAAAAAAAAATTCTATTTTACAAGGAACATTCATCATCTTAGAAGATACTCTTCTTAAACAATACCTAATGATTCAAACTGTTTAATGAATGAAATTATACCCCTCCTCTACATAGCTTCAATTCATTTCAAACACGTACTTTGATTCCTTTAAAAAAATATATATGCCAATTTTTCAATTTTTATGGAAACTGTCCTTTATTCAAAGTCGTATCTCACTACTAAATCTTCCTCTCTCCTTGTTGGGATTTCATAGTTAACATCTAACCAGTATTAATATACCTTGGGTCACAAGAAATTCTCTGAGAAGCAAAAACTATGTATTTTTTAATTTTCTCATAGTTATATAAAAAGTTAACTTATAAATCGTTTATTTCATTTTTAAATAAGTGATTTGGATAGCACAATATTTAGTAGAAATATTCTTTATCACCACTTACTTATAATACAAGATATTTCAAAATATTTTAAAATATGTGCCAGTATGAAGGAGATAAAAAAAATTCAAAGGGAGAGTGACTCCAACGTATCTTATGAACAATACCACCAAAATTTACCTCGCAATATATAGTATTTTAAAATACTAAAGTCTGAATGGATTGTGTTATGCTTCAATGCAACATTTTATAATATGGTAAGCATATCTGAGACAAACCTACTAGGTGTTAAAATCTTAAAAGAGGTAAAGAGGGATGGGGAGTACGATAGTGTATCATACCAGATCTTTTCAGCTATATTATCACTTACTTAACATCATAACATAATTAAAGTCCCTTCCCAAATATTCCCAAGGCAAGCGAACAAGTCTAACAATAATAAATTCATACTATGTTTACCTCACAGCCTTTATAAATGATAAGATAAACTGTTACAAAATAAAATGTACAAATGGATTTTAAGTTTGACAACAAAATCAAATTATACTAAACTTACATACGCCAAAAGTAAAATGCAAATAGTATTTACATACTAATGAAAATACCAACTGCTAAAATTTATAGCTAACCAGGTTTGACTAAACACAATGTTTTTATCTAGTATTCAACTGCAAAAAACTCCTAAAATGAAAAATCTCATTCCTAGAGCAAAAAAAAAAAGATCAATAAATATAATCAATAGCACTATATTTATTAAACACTATATGACATTTAATAATTGTCCATTAAAAATATCATGACAGGGCATATATTAAGATAAATATGATCATACCATGAACACTTCTTTAAACAAGATAATGCTCATGAAATGACTGAAGAGAAGAATTTCATCAGGAAGACTTTCTCCTCACAATTTATAATGAGTCCTACCTGTATCCCTCATTCGTGGATTCAAAGGGTTACATAAAATCTCACAGTGTTTCTTAGTAAAACTGCTAATTAAACCCAATCTGCCATTTTCCCTTCAGCAATCCAAACAACAAAAGACAGCAAGGTAGAACCCTATAATTGTCACTATCACAAAACCACCCCATTAAAGAAGATGAATATGTATACTTGCTGCCTAAAGATTTAGAAAACATACATATAAACCTAACAAATGCTCTAAAGGTGAATATAAAGTTATAATTATTATTTCGCTCACAACTGGAAATTTAATTTCAAAATTAAAAATTTAAGCTTTTAAAATGTTTACCATGAAAAAAGGCACAGATATTCAAACCAAATATATTCCCAAACCCTAAGTATTTACAAACATGAAAATGTTCCAAACTATTTTATACCAACTGTTTAAGAGTAATGTTATTTTCTAACTGAAAAGTCTTTTTTTTTTTTTTAAAGATTTTATTTATTTATTTGACAGAGAGAGACACAGTGAG